GCCAGGGTGGAGCCAGGCTGGGTGGAGAGGACCGAAAGGGGATAGCAAGGGATACCAGAGCGAAAGAGGGACACGTGGGTCTCCATCCAAGCTTGCCCTTACAGGCAAAGTAAGGTTTTCCTCCGTCCTCTGAAATTCATGATTGACTAATGCGATTTTTTTCCAGATAGGGGGTAGCATCTGTAATACCTTCCCGAGAATTATAACTGGAAGGAAAAACGTAGCTAAGATTTCATCTGTGGCAGAAAACGAGAGAAGTGAATGGTCTGATCCCTGGGGTAGGGTGTGGATTCTGGGAGTCAAGGCCCGAGGTCTCTGTGACTTGAAATAGGGCATTGAGTTAAGCTGCTGAAAGACCAGTCCTCTTTCAAAGAGGCAGGTCTCAAGTTAATCAAGAGTTTGAGAACATGAAGTTTCCTGTGACATTTGTAACAATCTTGTAGGTAAAGAAAGGATATGGAAACAAAACAGATGGTAGCTCCTCCTTGGTACTTGGCCCCGTGCAGGTCACAGATACTTCTTTTAATGTCTGCTCTTTGAGAAACACGAGAATCAGGAAAGAAAGGAGGTCGCCCCAGGCCGGCTTCATGGGTGTGAGGCTTCTGCAGTCTCACAGGCCCCCTCGCTTAGAGGGACGCCTGGTTTACTGCTCTGCTGTCATCGTCGGGAGATTCATAATAACTTTTGAGCACAGGGCCTTGCATTTTCAATTTGCACTGGCCCTGCAGCTGATGTGCATCGTAGTTGCCCCAGTACAAAAATGGGAGAGCCAGGCTCAATCCCAGGTTGGAGGCCTCAGAACTCCATGGCCTTTGCATAGCCTAATGGTTCTGTATGGCTCATAGGCACTCAGAACCTGCCAGTTTCATGGGTGGAAAAGGGGTCACGTGGCTAAACCTGACAAGTTCAGGGGAGGCTGCATGGAGGGTCTTAAAAATTTGGAGACCAAAGGTAACCCCAAAGGGTGGTCTGCAATTAGAACTTTCTAACTAAGCCCGTCATGGCGGGTAGTCCTGTCCTAGGCAGGTATCTGCCCTGACAAAGGTCAATATTTATCTTAACTGAGCCTGTCTGTCGTCTTTTTGCATCTAGATAACAGGCCTTTGAATATCAGGGAAATTCCCGCTCGCACCCGCCCCCCCCCCCCCCCCCCCCCCGCGCGTCTCTGCTCCACAGCAGAGACCACAAAACCCCTCATTGTCATTGTTGTCATGCTAATCGTTAACTCCTGTACCCACAAATGCAAAAGAAGTAGGTGTCTATTCATTTTTTGCTTTTTATCCAATCCCAGAGATTGCCACTCCCCGCCTTGTTTTCTCTCTAATCTATCTCCAGTAGATTTCATGTGACCCCTTTAGGCTTCTTCCTTTGACGGTAATATGTAAAATAAGATGCAGAACTGCCCTTCTCTGGAGCATTTCCTCAGTCCATTGAGGTTTTGCTTCCTGGCAATTGTCAGTTTGGCTCAAATAAACTCTTACACATTCTCGCAGGTTTGGCCATTTCTTAGGTTACCAGTACCCTCCTGCCCTTTGTCTTTCACAGATGGAGGGAGCCAGGCAGAGCTGGGGGAGGGCACCTTCGCAGAGCAGAGCCCCCAGGTGCCAACCCAGAGGTTGTGCCTTCTCCCTGCTCCCGCCCCCAAGGGAGTGCCCCCATTTTCACACCTGGGTGGCCCCCTAGAGTTGAGGATTTTCACACCCGTCTATCTGTATGGATCAACTTGTTCCGGAGGAGTTTTATTTCCAACTGAATGGACGGCTCACGCATTCATACATCTCATCTTTACATTCCCAAACCGAGACCGCTAGAAGAAGGCCCCCGCCCCTAGCCCCCAGCCCCAGAAAGGCGCAGGAGGGGCGGGGAGGGCCACCCTCCCAGAGCCTGCCAGTGCGCCTTTATGAGCGGTATCCTGTTCTTTGTGTGTGTGGCCAAGAGCAGCCTTTCAGGGTCTGGGGTCAGAGGGACCCTTTCCCCTTCCTGGCAGTCCCTTGGGGCTGGGGCGGGCGTGGTGTGAAGTCCTAACGCAGTATCTGAGAGGCAGCCTTGCTGGTTATAGAGCCCTGTCCTTAAGGGTTATAGGCAAAACTGTCTCTGAGAATGAATGTCTGCCCTTTGGAAATGCAGGGGTATCTGATGCAGCCACGCAGAGCTGGATTATGAGAGAAACGGAGAGGCTTTTCTCCCAGCCGCCTGGCTCATGAGACTTTGACAGGGTCTGCACTTGGTGCGCCAAAGCTCCCTGGCTGAAGGCCACCACTGTCTGGCAAAAAGCCCCCAGGGCATGAATCAGCATTCTAGATTCCAGAAAGACAAATAGGCTCTAGAATCTAAATTCTAAGAAGACAAATATTTTTGACCTGTGGAAGTGCTGGGGAAGGAGTGGATTCTGGCTGAAAGCCCACAGGCCAAGGAAGTCCTCTGCCGAGGTTAGTGGGCACTTGGAGAGGAAGGAAGGGGCATGGGGGGGGCATGGCTAGGAACTGAGACACCCCCAAGGGTCAAGGCAGGGAGCACTAGGTGAGATTAGGGGTCCTGGGCCCTGCTGAGAACTGGAGGGTAAAACAAAAATTACTTACAAACCACTGCTGGGGATGGAAAAACCGTTTCCTCTACTCTTAGGTCCTGTATCTGAGGGCCTGTGATTTAAATTTACAAAAACCAAATTAACAAGAGAAAAAAGACTTTACGTACACACGCGATGATTGCTCAATAATGAGTGACTCAAAGTAGGCGTTAGAATCAGGGGCTTACATCTCTTAGCAGGGGAAAGAGAATGGGAATAAAAAGCTTCTATGCAAAGAACAAATATGTTTTTTTAGGAGAACAAAAGCGGACTGGAGAATGTGATGACGTTTGTACCTCTAAAGGTACAAGTGGTCTTTCTGTCTCCTTCCCAGCCATAAAACTCCTCCAGAGGAGGGATTTATGGTAGGTTTACTCTTAGTCCCTTTCCTGGGAGCAGATCTACCCCGCCCCACCCCCCAAAAGAATTGATGGCGGTCCTCATTTCTCAGAAGTTTCTCTTTTATTTTACTTTATTGTTGACACTATTACAGATGTCCCGGTTTCTGCCCCTTTTGCCCGCCTCCACCCAAAAGTTTCTGTTTTTAGTCAGACAGGGAAGATTTCTTTCTGTATCTGTTGAATCTCAACTGTCTCCAGCTTAAAATACCCTTTAAACCAAGTCTGGGGTTCTGAGTGGGTCCTCACACCACACAGCTTGGCAGTTGCTCAATGAGTATTTTGGACTGACTGAATGAATGAATGAATGGTTGGAGGAACACAGTAGGGAGGGTTGCTGGATGGCATAGCATGAGGCACAGGGATTGGGGCAGGAGCAGAAGGCGAAGACCAGTGTCCCCTCTCTGCTGAGGAGGTTGCCCCCCCATAATCGGGCTGGGCTCCCTCTGGGCTCAGCGGCACATTTGGAATCTGGTGAAGGCTGAGCCAACCAACCCGTTTACCAGCAACTTTGCCAAAGTTCACCTGGCATCCACTAGGAGTCAGGAGTCGCGTTTTCAGAGGCTTCGAGGCCAGAGCTACAGAGAAGTAGGTTTGCAGCAAGAAGTCAGAAATTTTAAGTCTGCAACTCAGTTCATTGAGACAGTGACTTTTTCGTGAAGAAATGGGAAAATGAATGTCTGACAAGTTCTCCTGAGGCTGCTGGCTTGAAAAGGTGGCCAGTGACTAAGAAAGATGACAGCCGGCTCCCAAACAGGCCGGGGATCTTTGCATGGGGAAGGCTCTTGAAGAGAGTTTCTTCTGTCACCGGAAAGGGACCGGGCCGGAGCGGGTCTGCCTCGGGCTAGCCTGGGGCGTGTGGGTTCTTGACCTCATGCAGGAAAGATTTCACAGTACGGTCTCGGTGGTTTTGAGAGCACGCTTATTAAAGCCGGGGACAGGGAGACAGAAGCAGCAGCAACAGGGGAGAGCCTAGGCAGGGCTCCTCAGGTTCTGCAGAAATGTTAGAGGAAAGAAGTGAGCCCCATGGCGCGGCTTGGGCTCACTGAGAAGGAAAAGTCTCAGCGACAGAAGTGAGCCGAGCACAGGCTGCTTTTAGCTCACAGAAAAGTCAGAGGGAAGAGGGCCCTGGAAATGGGTTCACGGGGATGGCCTGGGACGGCCTGCTGCTCCATCTGCTCCCTGGCTGCAGGTGTTGCGGGGACGCTTAGACTTTAGGGGAAAGGGAGCAGGAGTCCCTGCTCGGGAAAAGGAGGGGCACAGGCGTGCCCTGAGGAGAGTGTGCCCCAGCTCCCTTTATCCTGAGGGGTTTTTTGTGATTTCTAAAGGCAGGAATTTTAGGGGAGGTCTTGGGAGGATCTCGATGGAATAGTCATCAGCTTTCTAAGTATGCCTGTCAATATGCGGATTCAGCAAAAAAAGCTTCTCAAGGGGTCAGAGTCATTCTCTGGGCAGCTTCACCATTTAAAGATTGTCCCCCGTGAAGGCCGAACCACGAAGGAGGCCAGCCTGCCCTGGCCCAATCTGGAATGTGCAAACCATTTGCTCCTAGTGCCTTTCATTAGGGGAAGATAAGATCTTGTGATTTATCATCTGGCTGTAAATTGCTTGTCCAGTTTGTTCCTCTATCTGTCTCAGCTTCCCCCTTTTGACTTGCCAAGGAATTTTCCTAGCTTCTTCTTCACCTGCCTCCCTTCCACCTGGGGAATGAGAAGGGGGAGGAATTGGAGAGGCTGCTGCTGGTGGTGGGGCCGGTGGGTTAGCCGGTGACAGGCTCTCCTGGCCTGAATCCTCCTGACCCCTCTCAACCCGCCCAGCCTGCGGCGCTTGCCCCAGGCCTTCTCATGTTCAATTTCCAAGAAGGGACTTGATGGGACTTGATGTTCTCCCGGAAGTGGCCCTGCGCTGGACTCAGGCATGAGATGGGTTGTCCAGATGTCCAGCTGGCCCGGTTAGAAAGGCTTTGAGCAGAGCCCTATAAAAATAGATCTTCTAAAGCATTTCTTTCACTTCCTTTCTATTCTGCAAACCAAACACCCAACGCAGGTGTCGGCGTGTTTTTTTTCCATAGCAGATGCAGGCTTCTTGAACCGTTCTGGACCAGTGAAGCAACTTACCTCGATGTCGTTACCCTCTCGGGAAGGACGAAAGGAGACAAACTCTGAATGCAGACAGTAAAGGTGCCTGACTAGCTGCTTGGCAGGGACCATCAGGCAGGTAAGGTGCGAAGCTGGGGCTCGAATCCAGGCGCCAGCTCCGAATGTCCCTGTGTAGCACCTTGTCTGCAGGAGAGGCGACGGGGTGAGAAGGTCTGTCCGGATGCCACTGCGCTGTGAGCAGGAGACCTGGCTGGCTCTGCGTGTCTGGCTTCAGGCATCAGAGAAAGGAAAATTAGTCAGGGCGGAGGGAGTTGCCAGAGAAATCAGGGAGGACAGGAGTTAATGACCGAAGTGAGAAAAACCACATAAAGGAACCTTAGAATTTGACCCACCTTTTTGGTTTCAGGGAGAAAACACTTCTGCGTTTGTAAACTAAAGCATATTTATTCCCCAGCGCTGGTCCCTGGCCCTTGGCTTTTGGCTTGTAAACAAAAGCGGGCTGTTTGGTCCTGGGGCAGGGATGTTTGCTCACAGATCATAATGTGCGCTCAGAGCCGTGGCTTAGGGAGAAAGGGGGTGCGTGGGGGCTGCCGAGCAGCTCTGCTCAAGCTCACGGGACGCCTGCCTTCCGAGTGCTGGGAGGCGGCGCTGGCTGGGACAGCCTCTCCTCTCCTCCTTCTGCGCATGGAGTTGGACAGTGTTGGCCGATGATTGTAAACCAGCACCTTAGAGACACCACTGAGCTTCGAGGTCACCTTTCCTCCCTGGTCCTCTCATACAGAGTCCTCTGGACACGTGTCCTTTGCGCCCCCCGTAGCCCAGCCCCCGGTGCCTATATAGCTGCAATCTTGGGACAGCACTTTCTTCTCTTGTATGCAGTTGCTTTACTGACACCTCCACACCCTGGTTCTGGGTCTGCCCAGCAGGGACAGTCATTTCATTCATTCCGCAGATATTTTAGCGATGCTTCCTTTGTGCGGGCACTGTGCCCAGCTCTGGAGATGAGGAGCTCACCCCGAGGGGAGGAGATAGGTAACTGAGAGGCCATTTGTTTCAGTGAGTTACCACCATCCACTTAGTGGTCCAGGCCGGAACCTGGGTGTGGTCCCTGAGTCCTCTACCTGCAAGTCTTGTTGGATCCCCCTCCAAAATATGCCTTTGCTTTGCAACTCCCGTGTCGTAGCTGTGATATGCTATGCTCTCTTTGTATGCGTGTCATTTCACACATGTCAGTTTCTGTGGAATGAATCCCTGCAAGTGGATTGTTAGGTCTCCTGGTTTCAGCACTTGTCACTTTGACAGGTCTTACCAGGTAGCTCCCTGGAGAAGCGGAGCTAGTTTATGCTCCCTCCGCAGCGCCTGCCGGGGCCTGTCTGGCAGCCTGGCCCTGACAGTGTGCTCATACGTTGCTCCTTGCCAATCTGATAAGTGAATCATGGTACTCGTTGCTCATTGTACTTGTAATTTTCATTACTATTATGAATAAGGTTTAGCTATTTAAGTCTAAAATAAAGGGAACAAAAAACCCCTAAAACCCAAACAACTCTGAGAGCCCTTCCCTGTCTAGCCTATTTAGAAGTGGCGATGCAGGGTGTGGCCAGGCAGGAGGTGGGAGGCGTGGACCCCTGGGTCCCTGTTCACTCGTGGAGCGCGGCCCCGCCCCGGGTCCGCCTCCTGCAGTCTGGGCGGAGCAGGCGGGCCAGTGGGAGGCGCAGCGCTGCCCGATTTATTCCTGTCCAGGAGCAGGAGTGAGAGCCCGCGGTCTGCACGGCCGGATCCCAGCCCTGTGCCTTGTCCTGCAGCCTGACCCCCAGCATGCCGGGCCCCCGCCTGCTGGCGGCGCTCTGCGGCGCGCTGCTCTGCGCCTCTGGCCTCTTCGCTGCCTCCGGTGAGTGATCGCGCCGCCCTCCACGCTCTCGCCCCTCCTCTCCGCTGGGAAGTTCGGTGCAGCGCCCTCCCTCCACCTCCCCTGTTGACAAACTCGGGCGGAGAGCCACAGCCCGGCCGGCAGGACAGAGGGCGACTTCCCGGTCTGTGCCCTGGGCCGCGGCCGGGATGCGCTCGGTCTCTCCCGTGGTCTCTGCCTCTGGGAGGTTTGGCCAGCGAGGGAGGCTAGAGCGTCGGGTGGTGGCCTGGGACAGTGGGTGACAGCCCAGGCATCCCCAAGGAGGTGGCTGACACATAACAAAGGAATCCGCTGTGTAGGGCCTCTCTTTTGCCATCTGTAAAATGAGGCCACTGAGCTGCGTGCGACTGGCGTGCGCCTTCCCACTGTAAGTTCCTAGGACTCTTGTATTGATAGCTCTTCAGCCAACTTTCTCCAGCAAGTCCCTCCCCAGCCCTGGTCGCCGGTCCGATTTCCGCCTGCGCTCCTGTCCAGTGGCCAAGGCGAGGGAGGGCTGGGGAGTGGGTGGGATGGGAGGGCTTTAGGTGGGGCCCCGGCGGGGTTGCTGAGCCTGGGGAAGGGCTTGGGAAAGGGCTGCCTCCCGCTGCTCCCAGCGTCGGCTTCTGGCTCCTTCCGGGGCCTCGGCCTGCTGCTGTATCTTCCCTGGGCCGCCTCCCCAGCCCAGGCGGCCTCCCACCACCGGCTGGGCCTCCAGCAGGCGGGGTCCAGGGGATGCCCCAGCCCCTTCACCGTGGGGCCATGCAGTCCCCCTCCAGGGCTCGGGAAGGGGGTGGATGTGTGGTCAGGACTCTTCAGGCACCCCCTCCATCCTTTTCTCAGAGAAGCAGGATTGACTGAAGCGAGGGAGGGGGTGGAGCCCAGCTGAGGCCTGACTGCCATCCAGACAGTCTGACCCCCGCCTGGAGCGGAAGCCTCGAAGGGCACTCCGCGCTCCCACGCACTTAGGAGCCGGTGGCTCTCCCAGAAACCCTGAGAGACTGCTGGGTCTTGTCCCTTTCCATTCCTCTCAGTCCTTACAGCCTAAACCCTGACAGGATGTCCCTGGGGAAATCTATGAAAGAGTAGGACCCCGAAATCCCAAATATGGTTTAGTAAGGGGGTGATCAGGCTTTCCCTGCAAAAGGGAAGCACCCAGGCTGCTGTGCACAGGTGAGTTCAGTCTAAGGCCCGCCGGGTAGGGGACACCTTTCCCTTTCCCCTTTCCTGGACCGCTGGCTTTGCCCCTGAGCAGTTTGGGACAGGGCACTTCTGGGAGGGGGAGGAGCCCAGGACTCTGGTCATTCCCAAAACTCTGTCTGTGGCCCGAGCCACCGTCAGCCAGGTCAGGGGAGGGGATTAATCTGCTATTTAAAGCCAGTGACTAATAGCTCTTTGGGAGCTGCCTAAGCTCCCGAGGCCCGTGCTGAGGTGGAGTTCTGAGGGCTCCACTGCTCAGTAACAGCATCACTTCCCTGGAGCCCAGACCCAATTTTCTGGGGCTCGGGGTTTCAGGAGGACCCTCCGCCTGGCATGGCCATACTTTGTGGGGAGGAAAGAAGATTTCTCGTGTCTTACCCCTAACAGACGTGGGGTCTGGGGCAGCCCTTGGGGATGCTAAGGTCAGACGACCCTCTTGTACCCGGCTCACCCAGTGCGCCAGCCAAGGGGCTCTGCACAAGAGTGCATGGCGGGCCCCCAGGCAGGCCCCAGCCAGAGGCTGTGATGTCCCCCAGCCCTCCTTCCACCTCCGCGGGCCTCGTCGCTGTTTCTCAGACCCGCCTGTCCTCACTCTTTCACCCCGCTCTGGCCGCCTCCTGGCTTCTCTCTCACCAGGGGGCCTGGGCGGCCTTCCTGTTGCTGTCCGGGCCTCCTACCTCCCCAGTCCTGTCACATTTCCACCCAGCAGCCAGAGGGGTCTTTGTGCCACCACAAAACGCCTCCCCACCCGAGGCGAGCGTGTCCCATCTCCACAGATGACAGTTTGCCTCTCAGAGTTGGGACCAGGTTCCGCATCCCTGCCTCAGGCATGAGAATGGTTTGTTTTTTCCCGGTGGATTGTGGTAGGGAAGATGAGAAAAGGTTGTGACCCCCTGGTCAGTGGGTTGAGAAGGCTAAACTTGTCACTCTTACGGTCCCCAGTCTGGCCCCAGCCTACCTGTTCAGCTGCGCCTTGCTGTTCTCCCAACATACCACGCGCTCTGTGCTTCTGCTTTTCTTTAGAATGCTCTTTCCTCGTTCCCCGGCTCGACACACTCCTGCTGTTCTTTTAGACCAGCTTGCAAGTCCCCTCCTCGGCAAAACCGCAGTTTCCTCGGCCGAAACCACACCTCCAGTGGCTTCTGTCCGAGCTCGTGGTGCCCGTCACCCCCGTTAACTTGTCTGCCTCTTTCCTGTGGCTTCTTGAGGCCCAGACTACGCCTGATTTCTCTGTCTTGGCGGTCCCAGCTCATATGTCCATGGGAGTTGGCCCCCCAAGGTATTGATTGCATGGACGAATTGTTCCTGAGTCAGGGCTGCCACCGCAGGTGACTTCTGTGACTCCAGTGAGTGCCTGAATGGTGGGACCTGCTTGTTGGGTGTGGACGACCGCGCCTTCTACTGCCTCTGCCCCGAAGGCTTCACGGGCGTCATCTGCAACGAGACTGAGACAGGTACCTGCCCTGGGCTGCGCCGCCACCACCCTACCTCTAGCTCCCAGTTGCAGCCCAGGCTGCTGGGTGGAGCTGGTGTGTCCTGAAGGGGGCAGGGTCCTCAGCACCGGGCCCTTGTCAGCCAGCATTGCCCTGGAAACTCCTGAGCCACTTGACAAGCTGGGCGCTTCCTTTGTTTGAGTTGATCCACCTACACATGACAGACCCTGGCGCCAGGCTGGCCCAGGCTCCACCAGGGAGAGTGGGGAGGGAGGCGGGCGGAGGGTCCTCCTGGGCCAGGCCCAGCTGCTGCTGTCTTATCTGTCCCCAGCTCCTTCCTGATCACCTGCACATCTCACCTGCCTCCTCCTCCCCAGGTCCCTGTTTCCCGAACCCCTGCCACAATGATGCCCTGTGCCAGGTGACCGATGAATCACAGCGCGGGGATGTCTTCACCGAGTACATCTGCAAGTGCCCTCAAGGCTACACAGGCATCCACTGTGAGACCGGTGAGCACCTGGGACAGCAGGCGAGTGTGGGGTCCCTGCAGGTCATGGGAGTGCCGTTTTCTGGGTCCCTGGGAACCAGACAACTAGCATGAGGGTCTTGGGATTTTTCTACCAAGAGGGGAAAACAAACATGTTTTTAATTTTGAGGGGCCCAGGATCTGACGGCTCCTGGCCCACGTTTGACCTGCGGCCCCATGGCAGGGGTCGGCGAGCAGGGGGAGGCCTGGGCTGGCGGGGCCGTCCCCTCCCAGTCAGCAGTCAGAGGCCGGGCACGTACAGAGGGGCTGACCTGCCTGGTGATCCCCCCGGCCAGGGCCTCAGAGCGGCCCAGGGAGGGTGCCCAGCTGACGCCGCCCTCAGTAGTGGCCCTCACCGTCCTCCCTCCTTGTCCAGCTGGAGTCCCTTCCACCAAACCAGGACTCTTCTGAAAAGTCCAGGGCTGGGTGCAGGCTGGGGCAGGGCTGGGCACGCTGCCAGCTGATGGGCCTGTCATTGAGCACCTCGGGGACGCCTGGCCCAGCTGGGCGGCAGCTGGGGCCCCGGGGGGAGAGCAGGTAAAGTGATGTCCTTCACCCCATGGGCATGTGCCGTGGGCCCTGGGCCGAGGCCAATGTGTCAGACATCCTGGGTGGAGGACTGTATGGGAGGGGTATGGGGGGGCTCGCCAAAGCAGACAGCCAGGCGGGCCCACTAATCGCTGTGTTGGGAGCTGAGGTAACCATGGGTGTGCCCGAGTTGGAAGCACCCACCTAGCCTCCACGTAGGTGACGCCTGGGAAAGGGGCAGGGGGCGACCCTGGAGGCAGCGCAGCCCCTTCATGCTATGTGCCGCGTGTCCTGGGAGCCATCAGGGACCCCCCCAGCCTAGAGAACGCGTGTGTGGGCCCCTCAGGGTGCAGGCACATGGGGTGTGAGGACAGGCCTGGGTTCAGATCTCTGCTGAGCCACTGGCTGGCTCCGACCTTGGGGGCGCGGCCTCACTCCGCACCTCCCTTTCCCTGCGTGAGCCTGGGGAGAGGCAGCAGGCGGCCTGACCCTGGCTTCCCTGCCTGGGGGCCAGGAGAATGGTTCACCCCCACCGCCGACCACACTGCAGGGGTGACGGTGAGGGGATGGGGCCTTGGTCAGGGGCAGCTTCGCAGTTGGCTGGGTCGGGACCAGCAGGTGGAAAGGGCAGAGGGTCCAAGAGTAAACAGAATGGACTTCACGCCCCATCCAGAAGACTCCTGCCATATGTGATTCTAGAAACCCTACACAGATTTGCTTCCTGATTTACTTATGGACTTACCGAGGCGCCCCTTCTCCCATGACCACCCAGGGAAGCCAGGGCCGGGCTGGGTGCAGTCGCCCTCCTGGCAGGAGGCCCCAGCGGCCAGTCACAGCTGCGTCATGAGTTTGGGGCTGGGTCCTGCCCACTGCTTTCTTCTTCACACCTTCTCCTGGGATCTCTCCTGGGGCCTGCTTGTCCCTTTGTGGTCCCTGCTCTGGGTCCTCTCGGCAGAGGCCACTCTGTCTTCCACTCTTGTCCTCCGGGTGCCACCTGCTTGGGTGGCCGCCTGACTGCCGCCTCCCTCCCTGCAGTCTGCGCCACGCCGCTGGGCATGGAGACCGGTGCCATCGCCAACTGGCAGATCTCCGCCTCGTCCATGCACTTCGGCTTCATGGCTGTGCAGCGCTGGGCCCCAGAGCTGGCCCGCCTGCACCGCTCGGGCATTGTCAACGCCTGGACAGCCAGCAACTACGATAAGAGACCCTGGATCCAGGTGTGGACGGGACAGTGCTGGAGTGGGTGGCGTGGCGGGTGGGGAGCAGGTGCGATGAGTGTGCCTGCATTCGGGGGCCACCATGGGAGGGTTCATAATGGGGGCCCCAATAGCAAGGCAGCAGATTCCCTCAGATGAAGTGTCCATGAGTGGAGGGCCCCTTGGGGGTCCCGGGGTGGGCCCGGGCAGTGGAGGGGCAGCTTGCACGGGGCGAGGCCTCCCGGGGAGCCTCGTCCATCCTGGTGCACTCTCCCGGCCCTGGGTCCGCAGCCCAGTGGGGCGGGATGAGAAAGCTCTTGTCACTCGTCTGCTTTATTCCTTGTGGGTGGGGGATTGGGGCGCGAGGAACAAGGGGATTTAAGTGCACTGTCTGCCCGTCCTGGGTCCAGGTGAACCTGACACGGAAGATGCGGGTGACGGGCGTGGAGACGCAGGGCGCCAGCCGCGCGGGCAGTGCTGAGTACGTGAAGACTTTCAAAGTGGCCTACAGCCTCAACGGGAGAAAGTTCCAGTTCCTGCAGACAGAAGCGGGCCTGGGAGACAAGGTGAGGCCGTATGGGCCCTGAGGAGGGGCTGTAGGCCGCACTCTGGGGCCCTGGCGCTGGTGATTGGCCAGGAGCTGGGTCTTCAGGAGCAGCTTGGTCCCCAGAAACTGGGAGACCCAGATTGTTCCGTGTTTTGTGGTTACAAGTAATAACCTCACTTTACGCATGCAGATCACGAGACTCAGAAAGGCTCAGCGGCCTGTTGAGGGGCTGGAGCGGGTGGCGGGACTGAGGGTGGTCTCAGCCGTCGGGGCTCCCGTGCACAGCGGCGTGGGTTGTGTGCAACCTGCCAGGCGTCACCAGCAACGAGCACCGTTCACAGCGTAGACATCATCGGTTGTGGGGAAACTGTTATAATGTATCTGGAGAAAGGAGTGCCTTTCCTAATTTTCACGAAGGCACCCTATGGACTTATAGGTGGCCCTGTGTGAAGGGCAGGGGTTTACGTCCAGGCACTGTGGTGACCAAGGAAGGTGTGACAAGGGGAATCGGGTTGTTGAGGCTGGTGCGGTGGCCGGGGGGAAGGGCTGAGCCCCTGCTGCCCTGCCCAGTGCCCCGCCCCGCCCCTCAGGCCGGAGGAGGAAAGTGCGGCCCACACTGACCATTTCCTCAATCGGCCTCTTCTCCTAGATATTCGTGGGTAATGTGGACAACAATGGCGTGAAGACCAACATGTTTGACTTCCCTCTAGAGGTGCAGTATGTGAGGCTGGTGCCTGTCACCTGCCACCGGGGCTGCACCCTGCGCTTTGAGCTCCTTGGCTGTGAGCTGAATGGTGAGTGCTGGGGGCTGTGTCCATCCGCGGGCATGGCTTCTCTTCTCAGCCGGGCCCAGGGACCTGGGCTCACTGCAGAGGCGCATGAGAGGGGCCCCCGGCCGTCAACGGTCCTGCCCAGGCGGCCTCTCTCTGCCAGCCCAAGGCATTCCGGTGGGTAGAGAGCAAAGGAGACACCACTTCTGTTTTCAGAGTATTTTTACTTCTTCTCATTGGCTCCTTGAGCTTCTAGACGACATAGCATTCATTCTGTTTGGCAGATGTCAGCTCTGCGAGAGCAGGGAGTTAGTTGGTATGCTTTTTATTCCTGGTGCCTGGAAAGCGCTTGGTGAATGAGTGAGGAAAGTGAGGCCTGGACACATTGTTTATCAAGGGTGCGGGGCTTGTAGGCATTAAAACTTGGTGGAGCCCCCAGGGCTTCGGACACCCACCCTTCTGGTACTTTGCCCCTCACCGCCCACCCCCAGCCTCCTGTTGTGCATTCAAGAGGAACGTGGAGCTTCTGGGGTCATAGGGCTGGAGCTGGACATGGTACTTCCTGCTGCCATGTCCAGAGACAGCCCCAGAGAGAGGAATTGGGGGCCAGAAGGGGACAGGTTTCCTCTGAGCCAGGAAAAACTCACCACAGGGGGAGGTTGGGGTGCCAGGCCTGGACTGACCAGCATTGTCTTGCCCGGCTCCACTTTCTCAGATCTAGGGAGCAGTTCCCTCTTTTTGCAGCCACAGTGCCACCTGCTGGCCATTGGCGGAACTGGAGGGCAGATTGCAGAGCTGGGGATCGCTCTGTGCCTTCTCATCTTACCAGGACCCACCCTTCGTGCCCCCTTTCCCCTCTGGGGCCCTTCTTCCTGTTCTCCCATTTCTGATCCCACTCAGTAGTTCTCAGAGTTGGGGTCTGTGTGCCTGGCTGGGCTTAGTCTTTTATTTTTTACAGTATGTGCTCCAAGGGCCAGTGCCTTTTGAGCCTAATCATTTAAATGGGGAGTTAAGGAATTGCCTTCTGGTTGAAAAGATGAAGGGATTAAAGGAAAAAAAAAAGAAGAAAAGCAAGCCGTAGGCACCGACAGCAGTATGGTGATGGGCAGAGTAAAAGGGGGTGGGGGGAGTCCTCACTTCTGACTTCCGCCTGCTAAGAGTCCCTCCTGTTCACCGATGGGCCACCATGAGGCAGACCTTTGCGGCTCTGGGTGGGTGTGTGGACAGTGGAGATGCTGTCACAGTGCAGCGTGGTGATCAGGTTTGTGCATGTGATTTGATACAGCGTTTGTCTCTCAGCCTCAGTTTTCTCATCTGTAAAATGGGGTAGCTAATCTCTTCGTTCAGGTTTCTGTATGGTAGATAAATGACTGAGGTAAGAGCACTGAATCAGCCAGAGGGCTGTTCTTCACGTCCTGGGTGATAATCCCAGGATTTAGCAGGACTGCAGGAATGGTAGAGAAAATGCCATCAGTCTAGAGGAGGGGCAAATCCTGCCCAAGGGAGGCAGTCAGGGTGGGCTTCTTGGAGGAGGTGTCTCACAAGTTGGGCCTTGAAGGTGGGTGGGAAGTGGTGGATCAGGGCCTGCCCTCTTGCTTAGGAGGCAATCAGGCGGGGAGGGGGCGCTGAGAGCTGCTGGCTGAGGGGAGCAGGGACTGGGCAGGCAGTGAGGAAGCAGGATGGTTTGGCTCTAAAAGGCAGAAGGAGCTTCTGGCTGTTGTCCAAGCGGATGCCAGGGTTGGGCAGAGCCACAGCTCTTTCTGCTGCTTTACCTTTTGCTCATGCCCCTGGGAGGCTGTGGATCTCAAATCTGAGCGACAGCCCCCCTTATCGGCAGGATGCTCCGAACCCCTGGGCCTGAAGGACAACACCATCCCCGACAAGCAGATCACGGCCTCCAGCACCTACAGGACTTGGGGCCTGGGTTCCTTCAGCTGGCATCCCTACTATGCGCGGCTGGACAAGCAGGGCAAGTTCAACGCCTGGACCGCTGAGAGAAACTCCGCCTCCGAGTGGCTGCAGGTGGGCCGGGCTGGACCCTTTGGGTGGGATGGGGCGGGGCTGCCCTGTCTCTGACCTCCTCATAGCTGCTCCCCAAGAGGGAGTTTCTGAAAAGCCTTGCTTTTTGCTTTCTTCCTGCCAAGTGCCCCACCTCCTTCCTGATTCCATAATTACAAGGGAGGGCGGGGGCTGAGTGCTGCTTTGACCGGGGCCACAGCCTAGGTGGAAAAAGGGCATGACAGAGAGAGAGAGAGAGAGAGAGAGAGAGAGAGAGTGAGTAGGGGGAGAGCACCCCCACTGGCTGGCACAGGGGACAAGCCTGAGCCCATGGACTGCAGGGCTGGGTGGAGGAGGGACACCAGCGACTTGCGCACTGGGATTCCTCTGCCGGAGCCCAGAGCACATGTCCTCTGACTCAGTGTCTGAGAACACACCAGGGGACAGCCCTGGGGTTTCACTGAAATTGGGAAACACAAGTGCATCTGCGCATGTGTTACACACGAGGAAACAGTTCTATCAGGGTGAGGATTTGCCTGGGGCTCACCTGCTTGCCGTCTTGGGGCTGCCTGTGTAGAGGCAGGTGGCTGCTGCCCAGTGTGGTCAGGGACTAGGGGCAGAAGGTCTGTCTCTGGGCCCCAGGGAGCACATGAGCCTGTAGAGCTGGGTTCCGTGCGGAGCTGCCCACCTTTGAGTCCTCGGGACCCAGGTCCAGCTGCGGACGGCCCTGCAGTGGGCCTCGGGGGCAGGTCCCGCCCCGGGGTTGGCCCGGGCCCAGGCTCTGTTGTCAGAGCTCCGCTGCAGTGAGTTGCCTCACCGTGTTGGGTCTGACAGAGTCAGTGGTATGTATAGATGAGGAAGCTGAGCTTCTGCAAGTGACGTAGCGGTCTGCAAACTGAAATTCATGTCTCAGGGTGTCTGCTTTTTTCCACTTTCCTGGGAAGGGTCCAAGCAAAGAAAATGCAGCTGATTTTTTCTTTTTCCCCCTTGTAGATCGACTTGGGCTCCCAGAAACAAGTGACCGGCATCATCACGCAGGGGGCCCGCGACTTCGGCCACATCCAGTACGTGGCAGCCTACAAGGTGGCCCACAGTGACGATGGCGTGAGCTGGACCGAGTACAGGGACGAGGGGGCCGAAGACAGCAAGGTGAGTGTCTGTCAGCTACCCGCCCCGCATCCACGCCAGGGGCGCCCTGCAAGTCGGGCCTGGGGCTCTGAGCGGAGGGGGCTGGCTTGGGGCCCCCTGACACCCTCTCTGCCCCCAGATCTTCCCAGGAAACTTCGACAATAATTCCCACAAGAAGAACGTGTTTGAGACGCCCTTCCTGGCTCGCTTTGTGCGCATCCTGCCCGTAGCCTGGCACAACCGGATCACCCTGCGTGTAGAGTTGCTGGGCTGTTAGTAGGTCTGGCTGAAGTGGCTGGGGCGCCTGCCCCTTCCCCGTCCCCTGACCTTCTGTGGGCCTGCTGCCTCTGCCACCCACCCCCCTCCTGATTGTAGCGCCGTGGTGGGGGGTTCAGTCACCTCTCCCTCCCCTGTCCTCCTCATGCCCCACTTCCCACCTGCCCCTGTCACCGGCCCTCACACCATCCCATTTTCTTGGCGCTGTGGGGGCACAGTAGGTCTGGGGCGGACAGAGAACGAGGCTGGGGGGTGGGCTGCCTGCACCGCTCCAGATCCCTGCCCCCCCCATCCTAGGCTCCCAGCCCTGCAGGAAGGCCTTGAGGCACCAGGCTGGAGATAACCGCCCCCTGCCCCCCAGCCGTGAGGCATGATGCTGCCACTCTCCATGCCGCCACCTGGCCCTCCCCCCTCATGTCCCTGGAGACCCCTCTGACCCTTGTGCTGCAGCCCAGAAAGACAGAACGGGGTGGGGCGGGTCTGTGGCGAGATGTGGGTGGGCACAGGGGTCTTGAGTGCACTGGCAGCTTCCAAAATATATTTATATCACTCCCCAGAGGGTTTGCTGTATGGTTCATCGTCACTGCACTGAAGTGCACCTTGTTTTGTGCTGGTCCCCCACCCTCCACCGGCAGTCTTCCCAGAGCCCCCGTGTTCTCAGTAGCTGCTGGACAACAGACAGCTTAACAGCTGGAGGAAGGAGGAGGCTCCTGGGGGGGCCCACAGGGGCTGGCGCTCTGCCTAGTGCGGGGCCTCCTGGCCAAGCGCACTGGTTCCTGGGAGAGACACTCCAGGGGTCCCCTCCAGCCCTCCCCCAGGCAGGGGCCACCAGGACGTGGCTACTGGGGACCGTGCAGGCCAGTGCCCTGGTGATCTGGGAAAGGAGCTCTCTGGAGGAGAGACTGACGAGCTGGAAAAGGGGTGAATGAGAGCCCCCAGCATTGGAGGCCTTGGGACAGACCGATTTTTGGGAGCCGACTTCGGGAGCCGTGCCGTGACACACCGGCGCCTCGGCGGCAGATCTGGCCACAGCTGCCGAAGGGCGGGTGTGGTGCTGCTGGAGCCCCACCAGGGCAATTTGTCTGCAGGCGGTTCCTTCCTGAGAACTGACCTTGCCAGGGCTCCTTGGCGGAGCGGGATGGAAGAAGGGGCCCAGGCGAGGCCCCCAGATGCCCTCGGGTCCCTGGGCCCTTCCTTCCTGTTTCAGAGCTCTGCATGGAGCTGCACGGGTAGGGTTTGGAGTCCATCTTTCTGGATGGCCGCTGGCCAGAGGACTCCCTCCAGGGAGCATCCCCTGCCCCCAGCCCTGCCTTGCCACCCCTGGGGACCAGCAGACAGTGGCAGAAGCATCTCTGCTCTGGGATGTTTCTAGCTCCATCCTGGATAGAACCCGGGAGTCTCACCTGTGAAGGGGAAATGGCTTCACTCCTGTCTGTCAACGTGCCCCTGTCCATGGCCTTGGAGACCTTCTGCAGGCCGTCTCACTGGGTGGCCGGCCACATGGGCTGGTGGGCTGTACTCAGAGAGACCCGTGGTGACTCTGGAGTAGCCTAAGCCACCTTTCAGGCCCTCCTCCTGCTCATGATTGCTGCCTTGGACAGAGGTCAGAGGTCCTGGGCCTGGCTCCCCTCGTTGCTGAGCCCTCCTGCCCTCCGCTCCTCTCCCTGGGCAGCCTCCTCTGCTAACAGATACCTCCATGTTTCCTTTTAATTCCTGCCTGTGGTTGCCAGAGCCAGCTCTGAGGTCCCACCTGCTGGCCAGCCCTACCGCCCGCACCTGGGGCTGTCCGCACTGGCCTGTCGGCCTGCCTCTCCCGGGAGCCTAGTCTCCTTTCTGGTCCCGGTTTAAATGCAGTGGAGTGATCGAGGGCCCGGGCCTCCAGGTGGCCAGCCTGGCTCCGGGTGGCCTTTGGCAATTTAAGTCCCTCGGCCTCAGAAATAATAGTGCCCACTCCATGGCCCTGTGATGGAGGGAAGGAACCTAGGCAAAGCCGAACCCATGAGAGGCCTCGGACACTTGGGTCATCGATGTCAGAGGAGCTTGCAAGAGTGCTCTCAGTGGTACTTGTGTTCTGTTCATCTCCCTTCCTATCCGCCTGGGGTCAGACATCTCTCCGTGGCTCCCTACCGCTGGTCAAGCCTGGCGGGTGCAGGCTGGCCATTAGTTGCTGCAGCCCTGCTCTGATGGGCTCCCTGCCCCGCCACTCCTGTTTAACATACACAGGGAAGCAGGCGTGGGCTCGGGAGCTGTCCTGGCATCTTTAGGACGCCCTGGGTTCAGTGACCCCATGGCCGTCTAGGCCTTTCTGCTGAGGGAACTGTCCAGCCCAGGACCCCTGTTGATCTGGACAGGAAAGAAAACGCCTTGTTGAAACAGGCATCCTGGGAGGTGGCTGCCCCAGTGGCTGTGCCTCCCCTGACACCAGAGCCACTCAGTCAAGCTCCACCTGTGTACCAGGGGGAGCATCTATGTGTCTGACACTGAAGAGTCCGGGTGGCACTTTGATGATGGCCAATCTCGAGGGTGGAAAGGCAGGCATACAGAACCCTTGCTCCCTTTCACCTGCAGGGGCTGGGGAGAGGCTCCCCAGCTTAGTCCCACTGTTTAAGGCAAACCAGAGCATCCTAATCGGATCCCTCCCCGACCCAAACGCTCCTCCATCCCCACTCACCTCTTTCTCCAAAATGTGACGGCCTCGGGTCCTGGGCACGTCTTCCGCACTCGGCCAGCAGCCCCGCAGTGTGGGCGTGGTCCCCGGACAGCGGAGCCTGGCGCCTGGCGCCTGGCGCAGCCCTGGCGCCTCCTCCCTTTGGGCCCGGCCCTGGGAGGGAAAGGGGCGTGTGTTCCTTTAAGGGGCAGGCCCGGCGGGAGCGCGGTGGTTTGTCCGCAGCCGTTTCCTTTCTGGCCACTCACGGACCCCAATCCGCCCGCTTCCTCAGACCCGGCTAGCCCGCGTCCCTGAATCCGAGCCCCTTGAACCCTCGGGGCCATCGAGGAGTCGCGGTGGGGGGTGAGCGGACGGTGCGTTCCTCCCTCCCGCCTTCGGGGCTCCGGCGGGAGCCGGCGAGCGGGCCGGGCGGCCCCTGGCTGTGTACACCGACGGGGGCTCCAGGCGCGAGTGAGGTGAGAGCTGCGCTGGCGGGACCCGCGTGCGCACCGCGAGGAGGCACCAATGGGGTGCGTCTTGGGCCTCGGAGACCACCGCCCGGGTCCAGCCCCTTCCTTGCTGGCGACCACCCGACTCTTTACATCCTGTCCTCTCCTGTCAGGTCCTGCAGCCGCCCCCAGACAGCGCGCCCTGCGCCAGGTCTGCCCCCGAGGCATGCGTCCGATGCTTACTTGGGGGCCACGCTGGCGACACCCCGCGGGCAGGTGGACCTGCACTCCCAGGGCGAACGCAATGGGTCCAAGTCGTGTCAGGCCTCAGTTCACTGGGGTTTCTGCCCCGGGAACAGTGACACCCGAAGGGGCATGAATGGGCGGAGGGTAGACCCTGGGTAGAAGATGGGTCGCTCTGGGAAGAATTCGGGGCTCGCATGAACGTCCAGGAAGGAAACAGCAGGGGCCTTGGACTCCCTCAGCTTTGTCGCCAGCCTGGGACCTGGTCTGGACGGCGGCGGCCAGCGCTGACCCCCGAAGCGCGCCTGCTCTCTGTCTCAGAGGACAGTGATGACTGGCCCCTCTGCACGGGTCTGCGGGCTGGGAAGACTGGTAGGAGGCACCTCCGGCGTCCACTTTCCGAGGGGGCGGGGACGGGGTGGGGGCGCTGCAGGTTTCAAAGGCGCTCCTAAGCCCTAGCTAAACAGGGGCGCCAAGTCAAATTCCTCCCTGCCGAGAGCTGCTGCAGACCCGAAGGGCAATGCTGCCCTCTGCTGGTGCCCGGGGAATTCGAACGCTGGTGGAGCTCCATCTTCCTCCCAAGTCGGGGTGCAGCTTATTCTGGTGTGTGGGGGGATCTCCTGGCGAGTAGTGCTGGGAAAAGCAAAGGCTAGGCCATCAGGAGACCTGAGTTTTCTCTCACCTCCATCTGTTTACCAAAGGTAAAGCCTTGGCCTCAGTTTCCCCAGCTGTAAAGATGGGACAATGGTGGCTGCTTTCTCTCCTGGGCAATGAGAGAGGAGAAAGTCAGTGAGATAAAGTGGAGAGTCCCCTTTGTAGACCGTTCCCATAGAAATGGAAACTGATACTAGGGAGTGCTACCGCCGCCCTCCCTGGCAGTAGTCTCAGGGCTCCGCAGACCTGCCCTTCCTTAACCTTCACAAATTTATTTCCTGGTCTGTATTGTTGTGACTCCCATTTGACCGATGAGGAAAGTGAGACTGGGTGACTTGTTAGGAAGCGGGTGGAGCCAGAGCCGTATCCAGGTGGCCAAGCAGCCTAGTATTTGTGAACCTCAGTTTTCTTGTCTGTACACTGGGAATAGTAATTGTCACGCTCTAAGGTTCCCGGGCAATGACGTCCATGAAGGTGCATCGATGAAGCAGGAAGCAGCCCGTAAATATGACAAGTCGCTGTGGGGATTGGCTGGCAAATGCACAACAAGGCCCTGCCTCCTGGCTGTGTGGCCTTGGCATGGTTCCTTGACGTCTCTGTGCCTCTGTTCCCTTGTGGGTTAAATGGGGAGAGCAAAATTCCCCTTGACTGTGGGAAGTGCTGGAGGACTCCAGTCTGTTGTGCCTCAGTGCATGTTTCTGGGCCGTGAATTACCTCACTTGTGATTGTTAGGAATGATGGGAGACCAGTGTCCGGATGACATGGAGTCACACTGGTCCACGGCCCCTTTTCCTGGCACCATAGGTAATGGAGTGACTGTAACAAGACTTCTCACAATGTAAGAGCATCAAGCCTTAGCAATGTACGAATTCCTTAAGGTAAAGGGTGACGTGGGAGTCCCGGGGATACCTTTCTTTAGTGTAACAACAGTTGTCCCTCACTCTGCGAACTCCTGCCACCCACCATCCCAAACGCAGGGAGGAAATAGATCACAGCACAGCGTCTCTTCCTCCCAAATTCTCCCAACTCAACGTCCAGACTCTCGCCACCCTGACTCAAGGACGCATAGGTGAGGGCAGGCTGCCTCCGAGGGGACAGCTGTCTAGTACGCAGAGTCATCCTTGGAGTCATGCTTTGTAGAACTCAACCTCGGAAAGTTTTCTGATAAACCTAGGAGTCGGGCCCTGGCCAGGTGGCTCAGTTGGTCAGAGGAGCGTCACCCCATACACCAGTTCAATCCCCGGTCAGGGCACATGTCTAGGTTGTAGGTTCGATCCCCAGTCAGGGCGTATGGGAGGCAACCGACTGAGGTTCTTACATTGATGTTTCTCTTTCTCCCCCCGTCCCACCATTTCCTCTCTTTAAAATCAATAAACATATCCTCAGCTGAGGATTAACACAAAAAACTGCGAGGCAGATGAAGTTGCATAGACATTTCCCCTTGTGTTAAGAAGAAGATGACTTTACCCAAGGGTTGGATTTTTAATTTTGGTAAATCTGGTCTCTCTTGGGCTCCAGTGACCCCCAGGACCCCCACCTCAAAGGAGGAAGCACTTGC